TGGCAGGTTATGAGAGGTCATGGAAGGGTTTATTCGTGCACAAAACGTCCCACATAGCAGATAGCCGTGGGTCAGATCTGGTGTCGAGCTGGCACTGCTGGATTACTGCTGGCATGGCAAGTGGTTTGTCAACCAGATGTGGGCCAAGATGGTATGCCACAACTGGCCTAGAAGTGGCTTGGTTTATGTGACCCAAATATGTCAGTGCCAGAAACGGCTTGGTTGTGTTTTGATTTTTGTAGTGCTGGTCCATGCATGGAGGACCTAGTAAACCACATCTGGAGAACCAAGGACAATCATTTTTCATGGTATTTTGACCAAGTGTTAGAGTGGTAGTGCCTTGTGTGGGCCAGAGCTGGACCAGATAATTTTTTTTTTCTGTGTGGATTCTGTAGTAGTCTAAAATGCCCAATAAACTCAGTCYGAAGTCAAACAGTTGATATGTTGTCATGTGGTTGTTTTTTTTCACACACAACGTTCATAGCCCCTGAGTAACACAACTCAGAGCTTCTTGGAAACCCCTTCTGCCACAGGATCTGTCACTGCATTGGGTTTCTCCCTGCTGGATTCTACACTTCAGTAAAATAAATAAATAAATAAATAAATAAATAAATAAATAAATAAATAAATAAATATAACTGTGATGGCTGTCGTTATTTTAGCCACAAATCTGCCCCAGTTAAAACACTTGGCAGACAGACTCCTCAGTGCACCACATCTGTTTCTCTAGTAGTGAGTTTTTGGTCATTTGATTATCCTTATAAATGTTCGTAAATGATCAATCACGCAATTATTGCAATTATTTCTCATGTGGAGGTGGGTAACATGTGGAGGTGGGTAAAAAAGTTCTCCTGACAGGTTGTGACAAGAATGGGTGGAGGAGTTGAAGCTGCGTACAAAAATATACAATTTACATCACACAACTGTAGGCGATACTCCAACATAACTTCTCATATTTAACCTAATTAATATCGACTAATATTAATATAGTTAATTTATGAGGAAACGGGTTCTTTTATTATTTAAATACTAATAATAATAACCATCACCTTTATTATGACCAAGACTTTGACAATGAGTATCGTAGTCAATAAAGTTTATCTAAAAATAAATGATATTTATTTTACAAAACAATTATTTACATACAAACTCATTGGAAGATGGATGAGGGTTTTTACATAAGTTGAACAACCAACCATTAACTCTTAAAAAGGGTTAAATCTCGTTAATTTGACAACTTATATGACACAATAAGGTTCTTTGATGTTAAATAAACCTAATTGAGGCAAATTCTTAGTAAGAGTGAAGTAGAAGTTAAGTTTAGGTAAGGAAAAGTAGTTATTATGGAGATTGAACTAGATTTTATCTTATCAATACTGTAAGTAGCCAGAAGGATGGAGCGATCTTTAGTGACACAGCCAGGACTCCCGACACTTTTGTAATCAACGTTCAGCTTTACCTTTTCAGACGTCAGTCAGGTAAGCTTGGAAGGTGTCCAGGTTTCAGACCTCTGAGACCGCTTAGGACCGTCAGGACTATTTTGGACTCAACTTCAGGAAGTCGATTATCTGGGTCGGTCCGGTTCCGTGTCAATCTGACACTCCGTCGCTTGGCTTCTTCAGATTAAAAACAAAAGTGTCTCTCTGTAGTCCTCAACTTCAAAGAAAGTTGCTGGGGGGCCCACGACTTGGCAATGTCGTTAGGCTAGTGGGAAGATTAGCTCTTTGGCTCTTGAGCTAAAACCTTCACCACAACGTTCTGATCTCTGCTGGCAGAGACCAGACAGCTCTCGGTCTGACCCGCGTCAGACTCCGCTCGAACTGAACTGGCTGTCGACCGGGACTAGACTGCCGGACTTTTCGCCCGTGTTAGTATAGAAAAGATAAGAGAGGGGAGGTAGAGAGAGTCGTCTCTGGTCGACCTTGGTGTTAACATGTGTGAATCAGAAAGTTAAAGGAGCGTAGAAAGTTCTCATGGGAAACTTTGCCTCCTAGACAAAACAACCCCTGTTTTACATGCTCAAAGTTTCTTCTGTTAACTCTCAGCTTTTAGTGAAACTTCTCACATCAACCTCTGTTAGGCATAACTAGAAAGTCATACACTTATATAGTTGAATTGAAAAGAAAAACATAATCACCTTATATTCAAATAATGGTTGATTAACATACACAAAATAAACATTAAAATGATATCTTTTGTGATTTTCTTCTTTCCTCTGGTTATAGTGAGGAGAACATAACTTGTCATTCAGTTAAGCATAGAACTTTAACTTTAAAATGATAACCTTAATTAAGAAATAACTTTTGCTTAAGTAAAATATGTAAAGCCAAAACATATAAAGAACAYTACTATTTTGTTTATTATCTTGATTATAGAGAATAAAATGAAATAAAATGTCCCTTAACTGTTTAAGAAAACATGTTATGACCATAAAAATGAACAGATTTCTGTTCTTTAAAGGAGGCCTTCCGTGGTCAAGKTCAAAGGCAGGTGGAACGTTTATTCCACCCAGGGTGACCACTACACAACTATTCTTGGCAGTTCAGATAGAGTATGTGGAAGGCTTTGATGCTTTATGATAATGGTGGCAACACATTTGTGTCCTCAGTGGAGCATGGGTGAGTGGGGGAGTGTTTATGACATGGTGCTCGTGTACATTGGTGTGACTTCGTCTTTAAKTCAAGCTGACCTGATGCCCAGACTACACATGAACCTGATGATGTCATTGGACAAGCTGCTGCCGATGTGACAGTTGTGACAATAGTATCTATCTATCAACCCATCGCTGCATCTTGATGCAGTATCATGGCAGGGCTTAGAGTGTGGTGCAATCTTGTTGAGGGAACACACTACTAATGCTAATGTATAAGCATTGTGAGGACACAGAATGAATTTGGAGACATGAAATGTCAGGACAACTTGTTTGACAAGTACTAATAGCATAATAGACCTCTGAAGAAGCTTTTCCAAAACTGCTTCAATCCAGCCATGTGAGGCTGAGTAGGTTATGGATAGCATAGTGGAATCATCCTCCAGAGTGAAAAAGGCCTGAAGAAGGAAAAACACTACTTACTGGTGCTCAGATATCCTAGTACTAGAGATCATATAAAGTTGCACCAAAATGTTTAAGACTGAAAGCTATTACTCCCTGATGTCTATGTATCAATTTTATTTGTAATTTTTAAATATGACTTTATAAGATGAACATCAAGGACCACATAAGCCTATATATTTATTTTTATGATCATATTAAGGCTTTATGAAAATGTCTGCAAAACACTGTGTAACCCTGTGGTTCCCAACCTTTTTTTTCCTCAAAGCCTCTCTTTCTTATTTCCAAGCCAAGCTGAGCCACCCCAATCCTTGGTTTCCTGCTGTTCCCCACCTCTCCCAAATGCATGTTCAGCCTTTATCTCTTTATGAAAATAATAAAAGATTAAAGTAAGTTGTTACAAACCTTTATTTATAAAAAGGACAAAAAGGAAGAACTGCGTTTTACAGGGTTTTAATTATCCAAATGAATTGTTTTGATGATTTCTATGTACAAACAATAAATTTATATTTATACAACTCTGAGCAGACAAGGGGTGCTCTCTGGTGCCTCCCAGGTTGGGAACTGCTGGTGCAACCAACAAGGTTAAATCTGTTCTAAATACCTTTATCTACATAATTTTTAGGTAAAGTAAAAATAAATAATACATTTTTTTAAAAAAATATGCATTTTTATACTATAATGCTTATTAATTTTAGTCAGAATTAGTCATGAATTTAAGTGACAGTGACTTGATGTTTATTTCGCATTAAAAACCTACACTGTCAAAGCAAGTTGGTTTACCTAAAACATTAAGAAATATAATTATAACTTTAGTAACATGTTTAAGTTTATTTCCAATTGTTCATTTTCAGTCAAAACTTCAGGGCACAAAGGTGCGTCATTTCAGAAATTAAAGTTTTGTTTATTTTAGTTTTCTCAAATAACATATTAAAACTCTCATTGGGAAATTTCACACAGAAGTTCTGTATTCCGCTTGAAACTTGTGGATGCTCAAAAACTTACAGAAAACAGAACTTGCACTGTATCAGATCCATATTTTCTTATGTTGATCCTTCATAAGATTTTTTGTAACGGCCTCAAAGTTAGATATGTTCCAAATCTTAGCTGTGATAAATGCAATGCTTGAAACAGCTTTAACTTTGAGAAAAGATTTCACAGTGTGTTAGACTTTTTTTGTATTTTTTATCCCCCATCTTGTGAGCCCAAAGCGTGTTCATAGCCATGTGTGGACAGTGTGGCTAATCGACACACTTTGCTTGAAAGGGTTCATGAATTGTAAGGAGCTGGCTCAGATGCCCACCTCTTCCAAGTGACAAACAAGTAGTCCAACCTGCATCATCATCTGCAAAGGATGATCACTACCTTTTCACAGCTCCTGAAGTGGAACTAACTTGGTGTAAAATGTCAAATGAGGACTTTATTGCAATATTAGACTTCAGCAACACTTCTGGTGTAAAAAAAAGCACATCACCAACATAAGAGCTGTTGATTCTGATTTATGTTTGCTAATCTGAAGCATTAAATGCAGCCACATCACTCCCATTAAGACTTGTATTGTATAATGTTGATGTTTTAATATTTTAGTTACAGATAAAAAAATGACAACATTAAATTCTGTCCACTATCCTCTAAAACTCTTTTTTTTTGGCATTAGCAATCTGCCTATGAGCAAACAGCTGTTTACACTGAACAGATATATGTTGTCTGTCAATTTGATGCAAAGATTCTTGCATGGAAAATGGAAAAAAGTACAGTAAAAAAAACAAAGCTGGACTTATTTTTTTCTTTTAGCTTCTTCTACCTTTTATGTGTAATACCCCTATTTATATTTTACAGGTAATGTGACATAGTTACTGTATATGTTTTTATTTTTATCCCTGCAACCTGATGGTGCCAGCATTCCAGCTGTTACTATCAGTAAATATTTTCTTTTCCTTCGTCTCAGCTTTTAGCTCGGCCATCCATTCTCTGGACGGGGCAACGCAGCGGAGTGACTTTGTCTCCATCCTCAGGGAGTTTGGGAACCACTATGTGCAGGAGGCAGTCTACGGCTTCCAGGAGTCCTGCACCATCTGGTACCCCAACAAGCAGGTTCAGAGACAGCTGTGGCTGGAGTACCAGGACATTAGCAAAGGTAGGGAAAACAAACACACTGTAAAATATATCTTTTTGTTCTAATAGATAAGCTTTATAAAAACTACTGAGGTGTTGCTTTTGTTTGTTTAGATTTGTTGTGTATTCATGGTGAAAGCATCAGAAACTATGCAACAATCATTGAACAGTTGAATTTAGTACAAGTAGTATTGAAGATAAATTGTTGTTCCAAATCTACAGTATTTTTTAGTCACTGCACCCCATCACAGTTTTTTTTATCTTTTTCACTTCATCTAAAATTATTTTTACACAAATAAGTTAGGACAATAATGCAAAGTATTTAATTTTATATGTTTTGTAATAAATAACAAATCCATTTTTTTATACTTGAACACTATTGTAGTAGTATTTCAGCCTTTCAGCGAGGTGTCATAAGTATTTTTGTTCGCTAGTGCAAGACTGTAGCAACACAAAGTACCTCTTGTATATGTCAGATGATTTAAATAAAATAAATTTTTTGTTCCTACTCTTTGTAGCCAAGCAGATGACACATTTAAGAACCTCTTCCCATGTTTTTGTGCACTTTTATGTTAGCAGTTGCATTAAATTTAGCTCAATTAACGTAACAATGTATCCACTCTGGTGACAGCTTTATGCTGTCTGCAGTTCATTTGTTTCACAAGATCAAATCCTGGAGTGTGTTTCATCTCTGTTTTTTTAGGCAGTGTTTTCCCAAATGACAAGCCGCATAACATCAGTGTTTGTTAATCAGTGTTCTTTGCATTAAAATGTATTCCTCTTGAAACAGTCACTGTAAACTGCTCAGGGTTTGAACAAAGAGCCAGTGTCTCAGCTGTCTATTGGGGGAATTTAAGAGGCAGTATCAGCCAGCCGTCTCTTCAGCTTGTTTTTTTTTTTTGTTTTTTTGTCTTTTGTGGGGGTGAAAGTCACAGTAGTGATGGGTAATAACCCATCTCTCCCAACCGTTTCAACCCAGTGATTACAAAATATCCTCTGCCATTTTCTGTGTTCATCCTGACCATTTTGGCTCTTTCTCTTTTTTTTTCTCCCTCCAAAGACCGATGTTACTCTTTGCAGATGTTTGCTGTGAGTTACCTGTTCTGATGGATGACATCTGTTTGATAAAGTGTTTGTTCTCTCACAAGAACCACATTCATCATACTTTCTTTCTCCCTCTGACATAATGCTAGATAATTCAACATGATTGAAAAATAAAACTAAAATGCATTTTTTTCTTTACTTGTTTTTAGTTAACTGAGACCTATGATCAGTAGTTTCCAATTCTGAACCCCGAGGGGCACTAGCCTGTATGTTAGAAGCTTTATGCTCTAACACACTTGATTTGAATGAATGGGCGATTAACAGGTTTCTACAGAACTTAAGGTAAATCAATCACTGAATCAGGTGTTTTGGTGTAGAGAAACAAGTAAAACATGCAGGATARCACACCTTAAAGACCAAGATTGGACACCCATGAGATAGATGCAGGATATTTATTGAATTTACCTCTGTAAACTTGCATTTACTAACACCTAGTAAAGACCTGTAGTGAAACTTTACACACAAAGTTGCAATACACAAAAATATGTACAATAGGTTGCCTTCAGCCCAAGGCTGCCCTTGCAAAATAAATATGTGATCTCAATGGGATTAGCCTGGTTAAATAACAGTAAAATAAATAAAATATGGGTAAACAAATATATTAACATAGTTTGCATTTATTAGTAAGGTGTGGCTTTTACCACAATCATACCTTCATTATACTGTCTAAACCTGTAGTAATGGGTTCATTGCCCTGATCAGCTAAATATCTATCAATTTGGTTAAATTACAGAGAGTTTTGTGTTTGCAAAAGTTGATTAGCTGTGGCGGCCATCTTGGATCAGATTGAATTAGTTGTAGAGGTACTGTACACCTAAAGTTTCATTGAAATCCACTGAGTGGTTCATGAGATATATTGCAAACAAGTAAAATTCACACAGGCAATTTCATTGTTATTTGTTTATTTCATGACAAAGGGCAATAATTACGGTGGATTAAATCGTTGACATGTTGTGAAGATTATCTTAATATAATGTTTGTCTCTTAATGTTTTAATACGACAGACAAATTCAATAAAAAATCATATTMTTTATAACTTAAATGCATATTTGTCTAAATATTATTTGTGATATTCTGACCATTTGAAAGATTATCGCAATAAGCTACAACAAAGTGCTTCTACTGCTTCTGGCAGTGCTGCCAGATATACAATAWTTCTTATTTTATGATAGTTTTAGGGTCTAGATGTATATATTTATATGGGTATACTTATCAAAAGCTTTGTTAAAACAACACAATACCACTGTTACTGGTTTATGGGGGTACCTTTAATCTGCTTGTCTGAACAAAATTCGTTTAGAATCCTTTGTGTTTCTGTCCAACGGGAGCAAAATGTTTACGGTTGGCTGAGAAGATCTGAAACAATTCAATCTAAGTGGGTAACTGTTTCAGTTTGGCCCAGGACCATCCGTTTCTAGGAAAAGAAATTGATTCCATTGGCAAAAACCTGAAATCAGAGCCATCTTTCTTAATCTCTTCCTGGCATCTTGGAAGCATCCTGCCCTTTTGCAGGGAGTAATGAGCTCACAGGAGAGTTTGATGATCCATGTCCTCACCCTTTGCTCCAAATACAAGATGTGCCTGACGGCAGTTTTTCCTTCCATATTTAGGAAGAAGTCGGGCTTAGCATCTTCGAATTTGTTGMCGATTTACAGCTGATAACAGTGGTTTAAAACTAAGGTGGGTCGGTCATTGTGTGGATTGTTTTGTGATTTTTAAAGGTTTCAGTTAAAGAAAATCAAATTGTAGCAGATAGTGAACTATGCACCTGGTCTAAATCAGTTTAAATTCAAAAGATTTTTTTTTTTTATTGTGCTTTATCACAATCAAATAATTAGTTTGTGGCTTAAGAAAGAAATTAAAAAGTGTCTTGCAGGTTATCCAGAACTGTGATATTTTGAGGCAGAATTGCATCGGCTGTAAGTTACAACTCAACAGACTTAGCCAAGCTTAGTTGGTGGAAAACACACACACACACACACACACACACACACACACACACACACACAC